CAGGCGTGCATCCAAACAGCCGTGTCCCAACCCTGGATTCAGCTACTGAATGCTACTCATGCAGTCAACGATTCCTTGAATTACCGGCATTTGCTCTCACACAGCACAGTCCTTGCGGATCAGCTCCCGCACCCAGACGACGGAGGACGTTGAGGTCGTGCCTGAAAAGCCAATCAACGCCCCGCAGCTGCAAGCGTAAAGGTGCTGAAGCTCTCGTATGCTCAAGGTGACTTCGCACGTGGCCGCCGGCCTGCTTGCGCTTGACGGCGTTGCGCTGAAGGTTTCGGAATGTTTCAGACCACTTAGCGCGAAGAGCTCTGTATCCCGGGGACGCCACCACCCGCTATCATCAGGAATTTCAGACTCATCTGAATCTCGTCTTGCGGCTTATCTGTTTGCAAAGTTTGGATCAACTGCACCGTTTCCTTCTCGTTCCATCTGTAAGCTCCGTAGGAATGGTCTTGTTGTGGCGCAATGCGAGTAGTGGCGCCGTTCAGGTTGCCCACTGACTCTGGAGCTTCTCGGGTTTGCATGGTGAAGATTACTTGGTGCTGGTGCTTGCTGGCCGCACGTGCGATTGATTTCAATATGTCTTGCACCAGGTCGCTCGAAACGCCACTGTCAAGCAAATTGTCAAAAATCACATGCAATTGGATGCTCTCCCGCCGCAAAGCCCTACGGCTCGGCAAATTCATCCGTGAGGCTTTCGTCAGTTATGCGAAAAAAAGGCTCGCAGCCTCTGGTTCAAATTGCCCTGCAACAGGACGCAGGCTTCATCTCTCCGTTCATTTGCCACCGCAGTGATTGCCAGTGTCGCTGCAACTGTCTTGCCAGTGCCAGGTTCAGCGTAATCCGCTGATATGCCTGGTGTGCTGCTTAACAACATTGCGACCATCAGCTGCTCTATGTAAGTGCCCCTGACCGGATTGTTGGGCATGTTGCTGGTTTGGGTGCTTGATATAAGTGTGTTGTTCCGGACGTCCAGTTTCTCCTTCATTGTCTGTACGAGCTCTGACACATGTTCGTCGATGTCGCCAGTGCCAGTATAAACACTCAGTTTCGTCCACTGAGACCACGCCTCCCCAGCATTCGAGAAACTGAGCATAAACTTCACAATTTTCTGACCATCTATCAAATCAGCTGACATTGATTGACATTGCTTGGACCGATGGGTCTCGAAATGCATCTGCCGCCTGTGTAGCCCAGTCTGGTGGAATAGCACGTGCGGGAATCCAGATCTTCGAACGATTGGGTGCGCTGAAGCTACAAGGATTCCCGAAGTGTTGCACCAACAAGAAGATCATAGAAGATCGCCACTGCCACCACAGATCTTCTCTGCATGCTTCCCATTGCTCCAGCTGCTCGAAGCCATCGGGACAACGCTAGGGCAGCAAATTGCTTCTACACATGCTGCTTATATATAGAGATCAATGAAAGTTGATGAAACATGCTTTACAGCTTTTTGTGCATGTCGCGTGCACCTGCATACGCTTGGTGTTCGTCTTGTGAAAACGCCCAGCAGGTTCGAATTCTCCAGCACAGTGAACCCGCCTGCTCTTCGTGCGATAAGCAGGCAGGCAGACCCACCAGGTGCGGTGTAGCGCATGGCCAGGTCATCGTACACCTGACGCGGAGATATGTGGTGTGTTCTTTCAATGCTGCACGTCGTCGGACACGAGTTCTGAACCTGTCCCACGATTTTCCATAGAGACCCTTGAGGCGGTGGTCGCTTTCTCTGTGCATCAAAGGTTGCCACGAAGAAGCTGTGAGCGACAACTGCCGCGACATCCTGAAGGCAGCGAAACACTCGTGAATGTGCCACCATGCATGGAATCATACGTGTGCGAAACTGTGACTGTGACAGGGTTCTGTGCGTCCTCCAAATCCTTCTTGCTCGGTCCATGTCTACCAAGAGGTCCGATTTCAGTCTGACAGAGGTCAGCAAATACAAGATGCCACGTGCATGCTGCAACTCGAGCAGCTCGGACATGTGGGCTTAGCGACGATTGAAAAGCAGCGGATCGGGTCGTCGGGGAGTGAACATATCAAAAGAAATCTGAAGACAAGAACCCTGCCAGCGGTTGCATGTTCTTTGCATTTTGCCGTGTCCGAGACTTCTGGACCTCTGAGAATCTGGCGGAGACCGAGTCAAAGCTTCTCCGAGATGCGTTTGTGCAACGCCACCTTGACGATTTCCTGAATCACGAACCACAGGGCCACCGCTTGCGAAGGAGTCGGAATGACTTCCTCGTCTTTCCCCATCGTTGACACTTGAGAGGGTTCACTTGGATGCTTACTTAATTGCATGACTGGTTGTCTCATCATGTTGATGTTTCCTCGCGTGCTTGCGCTGATCACTTTCCACTCTGCCTGGCCCGGCCGAAAGCGATGAAGTTGAGGCTTAATGCCTTAGGCAGCGACCGGGACTGCCCATGCTTGGCTCATTCCTGGATATCGCAGCTTAGGCACGGAAATCGCTCCGGCTCGATTTGGATTCAAAGGAAGCTTGATGCCTGGATCGGATTGTGCCAAGAGCTGACTTACTGCCAAGCAGCTTCCTCCAGAACACTTGCCAGCTTCGGACGTTGCGCCTTCGACCAAACCTCTGCCCTATGCCCTATGCTGCCTCGCCCATTTCCTGAATCACCCTTCATAAACAAACGAGGAGAAAGACAGAGAGAGAGAGAGAGAGAGAAAGACAAGACATCCCCCGGTCAAATAGGTCACCCGCGTCATCTCCGCCCCCGAAAGGGTCCAAACGCAAGCGGGGCACGGAGCTCCGAAAGCGTCATGACCCCGTGCATCGCAGGCAAGCAAGCAAGCAGTAGAATCGGGCAAAGCGCACCAGCGGGAGCCGGTGCTGCAGTCGCTATGAAGGTGTCATCGATGAGTCCATGGTGTGCTCGCTCCCATTGTAGCTCTGTCAAGGAGCCCCTGAGAATAACTAGCTACGGGATTTTTGCATGCAGGAAAACGTCTTGGACTTGGGAGTCCCACCACTGCGACTGGGAATAATACAATGGCAAGGGAGCCCCCGCCGTAAACTGGAATTGGCTTTGTCACACGGGGGCAGTCTCGAATCTGCAACCCGATGCGCGTTTGAGGCCGAGTCGAAGCCTCGGGTCGGGATGAAATCCCTAGTAAAGGCCAGGGGGTCCACACCCACCCTTGTGATCCGTCAGGCCGATCAACTGCTAGGCCTGGAGGATAACCGAGGAAGAAAAGCAGCGTGACGGCGTGAAACTTCTGCGCATGCTACCAGCTAGATGGTATGCTGACCCTTTCCAGCATTGCCGGCCAGAACCCGCCGTTGCCGAGTGGCGCTGGTCTTCTGGAACGAAACGTCCTTCAGGCATCATCAAAATCAAGCGACGGATGCGACGGACAGCCCGCAAGCATTCTCTCTGCCGTGCCAACTGCAATCACTCCACACTCCTCTCACCGGCAGACAGGTCGCAACTGTAGAAGCTGTGTTCCACCAGGGATGGATTACCATGGCGCTTCTGTGCCATGTGCGCGAGCCCTAATAGTTTGCTCAGTTATTCATAAGTTATTCAGTAAACAGCCCCAGTTCTGTAACGATTGTCGCAGTGTCAGTCGACTCATCCATGGTATTTGAGCCGAGCGCAAAGCATGAAGGAGAATCGCTCGCTGCGCAGGCACCCGGGACAGGAGGCGTGCTGGGCCAGGTGGCAGTGGCGCCTGGTTCCTTTGGGCGAGCGTCTCCAACCAAAGCTCGAGCCTGATACACCTGACACAACGCAGCCATGCCCACTGACTCAGCTCTCTGTAGCAAGACTTGCAGCATGCACGGCAAAGTCCACAGCAAAATCTTTCTGGAATGCAATTCCTCACGCTCATTGACTGCGACGAGCTGTGCTGGATCCTACGACGTCGTGTCAACGTCGGATTGACGATGCTGATCGGAGCTTCATCATCTGCATGCCTCCTTTGAGAATCGCGAGCATGACTGAGCACGGCCGAAGCTCTGCCAAGAGTATATCCAGCGTTCTCGAATCGTCGCCACCTGCTCATGCCTGCCCCCGGCGGATGGCTTCGGCTTCGGCTTTCAGAAACGTCCGACGTAGCTGCGGGAGACGGTGCGGCAGCCTGCAAAGGGGTGTAGTCCAACAACAGTGTAGACACTGATAGAAGTACAAAGAAGGCCTTGGCAATGTGCTGATTCAATAAGGCTCGGGGTTCTCCTCAGCAAAAGTCACGACCCGGAGTAAGTTACTCTCGTGCTGCTTCACCAGGCATTTCGAGTTCGAGGCTGCCCCATGCACCCCACCAGCTCCTGACACTGAAGGCAATGCACAGTACAACGTGCAAAGCACGAGCCGGAATTCATACATTTTGTTCGCATGTTTGAAACATTTTGAAACAGCTATTTTCGGTGGAAGCGTCCAACCTCGCTGGAGCATGTGGCCTGGTGCGGTAATCCCTTCCCCTTAATATCATTGAACGCCCCCCCCCCCCCCCCC